TTCTGGGAAAACAACTTTCAAGGACTCAAAAGACAAATGACCCAGACGACAATGCCACAAATACATTTTACTCTTTCTGAACTGACTCGTAGACTCTGTAACATGAAGGCAAGTCGTATTCTCCAGCATATAGAGTCCATCAACCATACGTCCCCTACCAATGGTCCTCCCCAAGGCCAGATCCTGAATCACACAATAGAAAGAGAAAAAGGTCACCGAACAGTTTAAGGAATTTGTAACACTACTGACTGAAAACAAATTCATAAGGAATTTTGGAACATGAAGAACATTAGAAAGAGTAAGGCCGAGGGGAAGAGAGAGAGTTCCTTGACCAGCTATGGAAGTGTATAATCCATCAGCTAGTCTCACTTTATCTCTTCCGGAAAGAGGGTGATAAGTTTGAAAATAAGAGGACATACTAGTCATATGTTTTGACGCTCCATAATCAATAATCCATGGAGAGTCAAGGTCGTGAGAAGCAATATGGAAAGCTGTGGCAGGATTACCTGATGTGGATGCAAAGGAGGTGGTGGGAGGAGCATCCATCTAGCGAATTGCTCTACCATAAAGTTCCAAATGGTCATGGAAGGAGTTTACAATATCCTCCCTTGGGTCAGATCCAGAGTAGCTATGGTGGCCATGTGGTGTTTGAATCATAGTAGAAGTGGAGGGCTGATTCTCTTGAGTAACCATATTGGCCATGTGGTGTTTCTTGGTACCTTGTTGCCCGGGTCTTCTAATTACATCTGAGCCTTGCTTCTTAGATAAATCCTGAGCCCACTTTGGTTTCCCATGGAGATCCCAACAAGTATCTTTGGTGTGCCGGGGCTTCTAACAATTAGTGCACCACAATTTTTCCTTATCTTCTGCTTTCTTCTGGAGATCCCCTCTCTTGGAAGAAGGGCCTCCACTAGTAGAGGAACCCCCCTTTGCCGCCAACACAATTGCATCCCCTCCGGTGCTGTTCATCAAGTTTCTTCTGCTCTCTTCAGACTGGACAAGAGCATAGACCTCCTAAATTGAAGGAAAATCCTTAGAACTTAGAATTTGTACTCTAATGGATTCATAGATAGGATTGAGACCATGTAAAAAGGCAAACACCCTTTGATGTGAGACAAGTTTCTTATACAATTTTGCATCTTCATCACACTTCCAATCAACATTCTGGTAATGGTCCAACTCCTTCCAAACAATTGACAAGTCAGAGTAATAAACTGATAAACTCCTCTCCCTCTGTTTACAAGTAGATGAAACTGCTTGCAGTTGATAAATCTTGGCATAGTGTCAAAGTTCAAAATATGTGGATTTTGCTTGTTCCCATATCTCATTTGCAGCTTCAGCCCACATGAAATTCTTCCTTATTTGCGGTTGCATGGAGATCAAAAGCCAAGACATAACCATATTGTTCTCCTGATCCCATCTATCATGTTCTACATTTCCAGAAGGTGGTTCTTTGATTCTTCCATTTATGTAGCCTATTTTTTCCCTTGTAGTTATGTATAGCATGATCCCCCTTGACCACTCTAGGTAGTTTAACCCATCAAGAGGAACAGCAGCCATAGGGAAGGATAAGTCATTGTTCCCACTCATTCCATTCAACATTATGGAGATTCCAGATGTAGCTGAATCTTCACTATTCATGATTCTATGTTTAGAAGTACATAAAACCAAAAGCACACTACCTTACAGAGCTGCTACAGTCCACAACTAGGCACTTGCAGATTTTCGGTTTAACAAAGAACCAAGCACAAACACTGCAGCTGCAGTACAAGGTTGTATGACCTACACTGTGTAGGAGTCCACAGAACAATATACGAACTGCACTTGCAGTGTAACCAGGTCTGAATGACCTACAGTTTTACAACTTCTCAGCTGAAAAAAAAAATCAGTAGGAACAGCAATACGAGTGGTGGTTCACCACACCTAATCGGCTGATATCCACTTTCCAGGGCAGCCAAACAGTAACTTAGGGTCTAGGGTTCATCAACGGTCCCTTAGAGAGCTGAATAGAGCAACACACCTTCGGAGGAAGGGGGACAGTCCCTACTCAGATTTTGGGACATCAACAGTCGTACAAGAAGAGAACCATAAACAGAAAAAAAAAATCAGTTCAGTACCTAGGTCACCCGAACTGTGAATAGGCAATACAGTCATGGACTCAAACTTCTTTTCAGATCAAAACCTTCCTTCGTACATCTGGGATGGTTTTCTACAGTCTTCTTAGCCGAGCAACTCCAGTTACCAGCACCTAAGGCTGAAGAAGAAAAAAAAACTTGTAGCAGAACCCTTTTCTGCGCTAGGAAGTTGAACAATCAGCCTTCTTGTAGCATAACCCTACTCGGCAGTGGAGACTAGTAGAAGCACTAGAAAATGCTTCCTCTTCCTTGTCTTCGAGCATCAGGACTATAGCTTCTGCGCAGCACTAGAGACCTCAGCTGGTTGTTTTCCAGGCCTGGACGGTCCTGCTCTGATACCATGTTGAGTAGGAGAAGAAGGAGAAGAAGAAAGGAGGAAGGAAGAAGAAGAAGAAGAAGAGGCAACTGAGTTAAGGCCTCAAAAGAACTGCTTCAGTTGAGTGAAGCATTGTATTTTATACTATACTGGCCGTACAACTCAATAGGCCTACAAAATTACAAAAAATACCCCTGCGGGTACTAAACCTGTGTACAGTACATATAATACACCTGTCAACATGGACCAATCTGAACTACCTATTCAGATGACGTGCTATTAAAATTCAGATGTTCCTATGAAGTTGAAATTTCTCGTATCATTAGTGAATCAAATCCAAGGATAGAAGTCTTTTGATCAATGTAAGTTTCAGGCTAGGGCTCACCTAATGACTGAAAGCATCCTAACTACCTGTTCAGATTCATGACCATGTTTTTTGTGCCTACAAAACAGGAATATTGTTAACTGAAATTCTCAACAAGTTAGTGTTATTGACCTTGATTTATAACAAATGATAGACATGTGATGGTTGAGTATAGGTTTGTAACAGCTGAGTATTGGTTCAGCATGGCTTGTAATAATTAAGTACGGATTTGTAAGATTGAGTATGGTTTGTAATGGTTGAGCAGGTTCTCAAGTTTCTTGTCTTTTTTCTTTTTCATATCGTGTTATTGACATAGGGTCCACATGGTTGATTTGTTCTTTATGGTGTGGCTCTCACATGTTTCCACTATATATCTGCTATTGAGTCTTATATTTATACCTATGTTATTATTTGATTAATGAAAAAAATAAATGAGAATGAAATTTGTAACCAAACGAGTTAAAATTTACTAATTCTTTCATTTTTTAGTAAATTGGTTCGTAGCAATATTTTCTCATTCTGCCCATTTTTACTCATTCTTTTCCATCTTAGAATTTCATCTTAGGTAAGAATGAGAGTTTAACCAAGCATGGCCTTAGCATCTGGAATGAATGTTAAAGTCTTGAAACTATGCAAACCTAGCACATTTATGTTAGTGTTAATCTGAGGCCTACTACTTAGCCTATGGTAGCCAGCCATGGTGGACTAGGCCCCAAGGTGATTACTAAGCTGTCCCCACTCCTGCAATATCGTAGATATGCTATTTAACCAATTCAACCCAATCAACTCAAAAGTAGATAGTGATTTATCAGTTCGATGGCCCAAAAAACTACAAAACTTGAGTCTATGGTTTTGTTCCATCCATATCAAGCACACATACGTTTTACCAGAAATATATATATTTATATAAAATAAAAAATCACGCACATATATGTGTCAAGGTCAACTCCACTTCCCAGTAACCTGAGCGAAGTGCAAATTATCTTCCCTATACAAACAGTCTGATCCAAATCAGGCTATCAAGTTAAATGAAGCAGGTAATCAAATTTGATCACTTATGCAAGTGACTAACATCCAGCACTAGGAATTTCAACTCATGATAGAAGACAGTGACACAAAGCAATAACCACATATTGGTATCTAAATGAAAGAAATCATAGTTAAGGAGTTCAGAGCCTCCAGGTTTCTCAAATGATTCTTTACTAAAACTCATGGAAGGATATAATACAGTTTAAAAAGCTTAATTTAGTTTGAATTTCTACCTGCAGATAATTGGGAATGCCTTCATGGCCATGGATGAAGCAGTATATGTTAAGAATTTTTATTCTCTTCTCCTTTAACTAGTTGGGCTGTTGAGGTGACAACAATGCATTACTCTTTGTCACAGACTTGCCCAAGACATTCAGAACCGTCACCCGATGTACCTCCTTCCCTACAGAAGAGGAAAAACAAATGAAGAAATTAAAACATATTGGGTTCTTCTAAGTGTTAACTCTACCATTTATGTCTGTAATAGAACTGAAGAAATACAAATTTATGAGCAACAAATTGCCAATATATCTAATTTAACAATAAATACACTGGGTGGTGTATTTATGGGAAATAATCAAATTGAGTTGAGACAAGATGCAGAAATGCAGCCTTACAAAATCTCCTAAAAGCAACCCAAAAAAAAAGGTCTTGATTCCTAAATATATGTGGATATATTTTAGAGTTTTGAGTTGTGGATGTAGCATATGTACTCGTAGATACAAACCATCTAGAAATTGGCATCTGGTACTCCTTTTTCTATTGGTTAATTAGCATCTGATACCACTAGCTAGAGAAGAACCACAAGAATTGTCAAAACCAATGCAAAATTGAAAACGTTGATGTGGATGCTGCTCTTTTTGATGATGGCATAAAATATACCCTCAAAAAGATGTGCTCCTCCAGCAAATATAGACAGAATAAAAGCAGTCATTCATTTGCAATACTCTCATATGTAATTACCCTAATTTTAGAACTTTAGGCTCAGTGTGGAAGGAGTACAAATACAAATACGTAGAGTACAAAACCTTGTATTTTGTATTATTTTGTATGTATTTGCACTGTACATATTTGTATTTGTGCTCCTTCCAAACTGAGCCTTAAGCTCCATTTAGGAAGAGTGCAAAAAATACAAACACACAAGGTTCATGTATTTGCACTTAACATATTTGTATTTGCATTCTTCCCAAACAGAGCCTTAGGTACTCCACAGTCCATACCTACGTTTTGATAATTTTTGTTCTGAAACTTTGCAATAACATTTTCATCATTTAAAACAATGACAAAAACAAACATATTAGCCAGATATAAATATAGTCCCAACATCTTTCTGGTAGAAACTCAACTCAAATGCTCAGAATGTTCCAAATAGACACTAAATGAATATGATTCAATTATTATTCCAAATCCACCCCATTATATTTCAACAATTTCTGAATCACTTGCTCTTCCTGAGCACACTTACATTGTTTGCGCTACACTACTAGATTTTTGGCAATTTATTAGGAAGAACATTAAGAAGTGCAGAGTCTATACCTTCCTCTAGTGACAGATGGATTGCTCTTTTCTCCAGTTCAACTGCATGTCTGCTACGACCAACAGGGGGTAATGACCGTAGCACTAATAAGTAACAGAAACAGAGATAGATCAGTTAAGACAAGAATTAAAAAACTTGTGAGAGAAAAACGATAAAATCTTAAATGGTTTACATAAATTCAAAGAACACTTACTCTGGATGTACTCCTCCTGACTCGAATGGTCACAATTCCTCAAGAATGTTTGTAGGCGGAGGAACCGCTCCTTCCAATGTGATTCACTAGGTGCCCGCTGGTTAACCATAAGAGAGTCTCCAGAAGTAACTATAGGATTTTCTGATTCTCTCAGTAACAATCCATTACCAGTCTTTCCCAGAGAAAGGGGAACTGTAGGTCCTCCAGATGAGAAAGTCGTCAGAGAAGCCATTGGAATGGGAGCATATGACAAAAAACAAGAAATCTTAGATTCTTTCATTTGGGTGTTTTGTCTAGGGGATTCTTGTTCATCATGGCTAAATTTTCTTGGTGGCGGATGACTAGCATCACTTCCCACATTGCTTTTCCCCAACTCCAGTTCCGATTTCCTTCTGACATACACAAGATGCCCGTTTTCACCATTACTACTAAGAGATTGATGACAGGGAGGGTTTGGTGGGATCTCAGGTGATGGTCTCTTATTTCCAGAAACCTTAATAGCATCTAAAATGGGTCCTTTCTCCTTTAGGAAAGGAGAATTACCTTGGGTTTTGGGTACCACAGTTCTGTAAGAGTTCTGCAAATCTCTCAATGCTGTCTTCTTTGCTGGTACAGGATGTTGCTTATCACAAGTGTGGAAGCCTGGTCCAACATTGCCCAGCCCATTCTCGTTTGCTTTAGAGTCAATCGCTTGTTTAACCATCCAGAATATTAAACTTGGGCAAATTCTACAAGATTTCTGTACATGTTCAAGATAAGGTCTCATAGCAACAACACTTTCCTCATAACAAAGACTGTTCAGAATACATATGATAAGTATATATACATGCATAAACACACAGGAAAGTGACATAGAAGCTGTTGCTTTAAAGCCAAACCAGGCATTCAAATTCTGAACAGTAGGCATGGCCATTCAGTTAATCATCTGACTGTGAGAAAACATTTTTGATAGAGTAAACAACGGAAATGGCTGAGATGGATGACTGGAAAAGCTAGAAATGAAGTCATTCAGAGGACATTAGGAGTATCTCCAATAGGTGATAACAAGAGAAAAAGTAGACTAAGATGGTTTGGTCACATGCATAGAAGATTTTTGATAGTACCCATAAATAAAGTGATCTTTTTCAACTAGCAAATTGAAGGGGCTAGAAAGGGGTAGGGGTAGACCAAAAAGGACATGGATTGAAGTAGTAGGAAATGATTTAAGCACAAATAATTTAACAATGGGTATGGAATTAAACAAAACAAAATGATGAAACAATGAAAATGACTATTGTGACTATTGACACATGTTTTGGACATGAATCCTTTTGATCAATATAAATTCTTTTAAAACAAAATTGATTGTATACAAATAAAAATGTTATAGAGTGACAACAACATCCTTTTTTATCAATACTGATAACAACCTTAACAACAACAATAATAACAGTAACAATAGGGCATACTTAGGATTGGAGACCAAGGGATAACTCAACATGACCTTTTTCCATTACCATGGTTCAACAATTCATAACAAGAGAGATTGGGGAGGGTGTCCCATAATATTAGAGCAGGATGGGCAAATTGAGGGATGCATCCAGAAAACTAGACAGTAAGCAGGCCTACCTATTGTCATTTTACCAAGTGATTTTTTCTTATCTTCCTTTGCTACCACCTTCGTTAGCACCTTTGTCAATGACATGCAGTAAATCAACAACTAGACAAGAGAACTCTTGATCAAATTAATACAACCCCATCTCTGCTTCAATGCTGCTAGTCTCTTATCTATTCTATCCATAATTAGGTTCAGATTTCAGAACCACCACCATTCTTGAATAAATGCCAACTGGTAGACCCAAATCAGTTATGACTTATGAGTAGGTAGACCACCAAGCAACCCATGCACCTAAAACAATCTCTTAAGAAATCTTCATCATTAACACTAACACTCACCATTATAATTTTCCTGAGGTTGGATTGGGAAATATTCATCTTCAGCACTTGGGGTTGGATCTAGTTGGCCTCAACATGACCAGATTTTCACCTCTACTTGGTTCAAGCAACTAAAGTACCATGTTAAGGATGATTTCATTAATTAAGGCGCTGATAAAAAAATTAATAATTAGGTGCATCTACCAGTTAGGTCTTAGATGCAAAATGTCACTGAACCTTAATTTAGATATCCTAACTGCCCACACTTTTCTACATTAAGACTAGAAGTTCCAGAAAAAAAATATAAACTGAAACAGAGCTTTTGTCTTCTGATGATGACTAAAGTTCAAAAGTAACACTTACATGAGCTCAAAACCTAGTTAACATTTAACAAAATTCATAAGCATGGACGGACACTCTATCATATAAAACACTCTGGATCCAGTGCAAGTCATTTTAAGATGCACCAAAAGTAAGAAAAGAGAAACTGGTTGTCACAGTGGTTTTTCTCTCCTCTAAAAGGCTAAAAGCTTTTATCTTTCTAGTATTAAATAAATAAAATAAAGTTACAATGAGGTTACAACCATGTTTCTTCCCTATGCAAGTTGATATAATAGACGTTAGAAATGGACGGGCCTTTGAGGCTTGTTGAGGCTTTTTTCTCTTTTTTATTTTTTCTATCCAGCGATCCCTTCCTTCACTTGCAATGTCTGTTTCACAGGCCTATTTGACCAATTTGAAGATCTAACCAAAGCCGATGGAATCTGTTTCAGAGGCCTTTCAACCTTTGGTTCTTCCACAATTTTCTATTCTTCAACCTTAGTCTCTTCTTAGGCACTTGACTTCCCTTCTACTTGAACCTTTGGTTCTTCCACAACAGGTTGTGATCTCCTTGATTTGTTCAGTAGCAAGAATAGTAGCTTATCTATAACTGCTGGAGTAACTTCTGCTACTGTTTTTGGGGCTTCTGTTTCTGTTACTTCATCAAATGGGGGTTTTACCTAAGTTTCTTTTGCTTCAATGACCAGTTTTTTCCCTTCCTTAGGTACTTTTACATCTTTTTCTTTGGGTGTTTCTTCAGTGGTGAGTTGAGGTTCTCAGATTTGGCTGCTGAAGGATCATGACTCTCAGGATTGTCTTGCAAGAAACCATTGAAGTGAGAGGATGAGGAACTTTTGAGATGCCTAATTGCTTTCATTGAAACTGTTTCAGTCTCCTCACTGAGTTCAGATTTGTTTTAAATTTTTAAGAGAATAAGCAAATAAGATTGAAGATGAGGATTAAGGAGTTCTTGAGATGTTCAATCATCTTTACCTAAATTTTTAATTGCTCACTGTTGTACATAACTGGGTTTGTTTTTACTTTTTAGAGAAAAAACAAATAAGATAATGGAATCGCCAGTTACAATGATGTAATCAATTAATGAAATGTCAAAAAATATGTAGAATTGAAGGAAAATCCTTTTGAGTCAAAACCCACTAGATCTGGAGTGTATATAAAAAAGAAGCATTAGATGCTGGTACATCTCACCTCGTGTTTTTATTACATGTCTAAGGGATGGGGTTCCATCACTCACTTACTCCATTGTCAAGGGACCAAAAAATTATGGAACTTCTCACATCTAATAGAACTGGAAAGGGTGTGAAACCAAGGTGCCTGGAATGTGGTCTACCAATGGAAAAGGACATGAACTCAAAACTTAGGGGCAAGATTTATTGATCTGCCATTATACATGCAGTTATGTGGGTATTTACAAAAGAGAAAAAGAACAACCACATTTTTCAGAACAAGACAGCATCTCTGATATATCTACAAGGGGCTATAATGCTATATGCTTTTGTGTTATCAAAATAAGTCATAAGCCGATTCATTGAGCCTACCTCAGTGAATCTACATATGTACAGACATACATACATGTTGATCAATTATAAACACTCCCAAATTTTGGAGTTTTTCGATTTTCACACTCCAGCAGTTGGATCCTGCTCAACACTCCAAATTTACACCATGATATGGTGACTTATCATATTCATTTTTCACCCCACCCCAAAAGAAAAGGGAAAAAGAATTAAGAATTTAATGGGCCTAAAACAACCTACCAATTTTCCCTATATATTCTAAGTTTTAATAACTACTAATGTTTTTCCTTCAAGGAAATATTTTCTCAGCTAAAACTATGAAAGCTATTCAAACTGCTCATTCCTTTTACTTTCTTTTCTTCACTTATACAGTATATTGATAACAATGTTCTAGTAAAAAAAAAGAACAAAAAATCTCACTAGATGATCTATTCTATTTCTGCCACATGGAGGATAAAAGATCCTCTTGATAGACCATGCATTCACTCCCCCAGTCCGGACAAGATCCATATACAGGTAACACGGCCTTGTACTGGAGATTTCCCCAATAATATGATCCATCCATAGTTTCAAAGCTTATACAAACCTACCAAAGAAAGGCAGTAAGGGGTATCATTTGGAGTCCTTTTTGGGCCCAAAACCATGTTACCATGCTGCATCCTGTGGTATTTAGCAGACCTATTCTCTTGCAAGTTCTTTTTTTTCCTTATGTTGTGTTCTTTGATTGTGTACTTCCCAAGAAAGAAGCAGCAAAACAATTTAGTACCTATCAACAACAGACTGTTTCTACTTTCTACTTTTACATTGTCTCAAGAACTTCAAACATATTCTTCATTTCAATGTTCAACATAACTACAGGGCCCCAAAGAGAAAAAAAAACATCATTGCTCCACCTATACCCCAAAACACACAATAGCAACACTTCTCATTCTAGGAAATTCTGTATCTCAAACAGTAAGAACTTCCTGTCTATATGCCTACATTCGTTTGTCATCTTATTCTCTAATTCTTTTAGGTAATTCCCCAATCTCTTTAGCAAACCACGTATCATAAAAATAATTCTGTAAACCTCCCATAGTGTTCTATATTGACAAGCCCCAAAGTCAAAGTAGCTAAAAGCTTATAACAATTAACAACCACGTTATTCTTTCAATCTACAGGAATGCTAATTATAATCAATAATCAACACCAATTGGCATCGACCCAATATAAGGAAACGACTGACAACTTGTCAAAAACAAAGCATTGACTTCTATAAGGAACCAACTTTCATTTTGGTAATTCACCATATGAGCTCTCCAAATAAAAGCTCTTGCACTATCCCACCCTGCTTTAAGGTAATTTAACCACCCCACCCCAACACACGCACCAAAGCAAACAAAAGGACAAATAAATTAATAGAAACAAAACTAAAATACCGGGAAAATCAACTGTAGTATAAATGAACTGAATGAGAAAAAGAGAATCCCCATGGAAGGTTCATCATATTTGAGAAGAAAAGTAACCCGTCTATTGTAAAAAACGACTAACGCAGATCAAATTTCGCCAGAAACCCAAAACCTCGTAAATATAGACCCAGAAAAGGAGATTAGTTTTCCCATGTAGACACTGTGTTTCCATAATTAAACATGTCAATGAATCATTGATCACAGAGAAAAGAAAAAGAAACCAACATAATTGCGGGGGGAAAGGGTAGAATAAGAATTAAGGATGAAGATGGGAAACACGCGTATCTTAGAAGAACATTACCTTTGAGCATTGCACGCGATCGGAAAGGTTCAGAGATTGGCAGAGAGATAAAGAAAGAAGTTGGGCTTCAAAAGAAAGAAAAAACAAAAACAAAAAAGAGGAAGAATAGGCAGCCTTGGCTCCACCCTCCAAAGGGACCAAAGTCTTTTTGTTCTTGGCTAGTTCTTCCTACAAAATTAAAAGAAAAGGTTTATGTATTTTGGTTTCACGGTTCCACTAAAAAACAAATAGTAATTTTTTGCCCAGCGTACACTGGCGGGAAACCATGCAGTAAACCCATTACCCATATCGTGGGAATTTTTTTTGTTTTTTTCTCGTATCGTATGAAATTGAAAAAGATGAACCGGTTGCGTATTACGCACCAACGCTAGTTCCACTCCACTGCGCCCGTTGGAGTAGAAAGGTGGAGCCACAGCAATCGAGGATGGAGCGGGATTTTTCATCATTCTTGTTGTTGCTTATCAACTTATCATGTCTTTCCATAACCGTGATCGGCTTCAGTGATCGTGTTCATACCGTTCGTACCACTGTTTTGAAAATCGGATGGTCAAATCGTTTGGCCTGGGAATCGGTGAAGTCATTGGTTTCATTTTGGCCTTGAACCGTTATTTTACAAATATTTATTAAAATGGTCAAAGAATCACCGGTCTGAGCGATCAGGCCGTTAAACCATTCGACTCAGGCAGTGGTTTGCAGTTTAATAAAAATTAAGAGAGAAAAGAAGAGATCGAGAGATGGGGGAGGGAAGGATTGAGACAAAATCTCATATCTGAGCTCACTAAGATCTAAGAGAGAGAGAGAATAAGAGAGATTTGAATAGGCTGGAGAGAAATGTCACCATTGCAGATTTGTTGCCGCCACCACCACTAGTATTATCGCCGGCGAACATAGTCTCCTCCTCCTCCTCCTTTCTTCTTCTTTCTTTTCCTTTCCTTTCTTTCTTTCTTCTCCTTAACTAGGGGTGGCAACGAGCCGAGCTCGAGCTCGATCTTGAGCCCAATTCAATGGCTCGATTAATAAACGTGTCAAGCTCGAGCCTAATAGAGCTTGGCTCATGAGGCTCGCGAGCCGACTCGAATATATATAATATGTATAATAAAATTATAGAAAATAATATATATATATAATAAAAATATTATAATTATTAATTTTTAAATATAAAATAAATTTTTTATATATAATTTTTATTTTTATAATAAAATATTTATAAAACATATAATAAATATTTCTATAAAATATAAAACGAGTCGAGCCGAGCCGAGCTCGAGCTTATGAACTCTTGACTCAAGCTGAGCTCGAGCTCAAGGTTCTAGCTCGAACCGAGCTCAAGCTCAAAGTTATGGCTCGAACCTAGCTCGAGCTCAAGCTCGAGCCTTATAGAATAGTCTCGAGTCGAGCTCGAGCCTAGTACTATTTGGCTCGGCTCGGCTCGAATCCAACCCTATCCTTAACCGATAGCTACTCACCTCTCTCTTTTCTCATAACCTTCTATCCTAATATTCCAATTCAACGCTTAACTACCTCAAACCGCTTGAACCATTAAACTCAGACGGTCGAATCATTGACCCAAAAACCAATGGTCAAAGTGGTTCTATTTCTTTTTAAAAGCTTGGTTCGCACAGTCCCTTGCAGCCTCGCATTGGGAATATCTCCCGATGAAAGAAAAAACATGTGAATATAGAGATATTCCTAATGTAAAGATGCAAGGGACTGTGCAAACGGTATGAAAATGGTCTGTCTCTTAGTCAAACTTAGAAAATTTATGATACTAAAAAGACATGATATCGAAAAGGTTTTGACCAATCAAAGCCCCATGAATTTTGAAGAAAATCCACCTGATTGGTTATCATTTGTTATGATATTAGTTGATTAGTTATGAGTTTTTCAGGTATCATGTCTTTCTGGCATCACTCACCCACTATCAATTTTAATGAATAATACCCACTTGATTGTCCATCACTTTGATTAGGTATCTATCTTTCTAGCATCACAGTGGAACCTTTTTTTGCATGTGTTTGTGTCAACGGCATTTACAAATTTGTTCCAATTCAAATCCTTTTACGATTGGAATAAATTTAGATCTTTCCTATCCAATTCCAAATTTCCAATCGTATATGTATGTAAAATTGGTTTGACTGTGCATTTTACCAAAGAGACAAATTTTAAGTTTCATACAAGTTATTTTTAATCCATTTTATTCATGATATATAATATTAAAGTTATTTTTAATTCATTTTATTATAATAAATTGTATTTTGGTGATTTTTAATTTACTTTATTAATGCTACTTACCTAATATCTGATTGGAATTCAAATTCAATCTAGATTTGACTTGTATTTTAACTAAGGATACATAAGTTTCAGACAAAGCTATTTTCAATCTATTTGTTCACGTTATACAATCAAGTCATCTCAGGTCGTTTTATTTAATAATAAATAATAATTTTTGGTTTATCTATTAATGCTACTTAATATCTGATTGAAATGAAATTCAATCCAGATGTGACGGATAAGATTTGATTTGAATCCAAATATAAATAACCTGTATTTTGATCTACCTATATCTCATTTCATTTGGTTAGGACCATTAGTTTGTGTTTGTTTGCAATACAAAAATGAATCAGATACAAACTTTTCACCGGGTTCAGTTTTGTATTCACTTATCTGTGACTATAATTTGCACTCTTACCTAATGTAAATTTTGCACATTTTATCTCACTAGTAAGTGTGCACATTCTTTGCACATGGCAATTCTAGATGATGGTAATGATAATAATAATGTATCTAAAAATTTCTATAAATATGTATTTTTTTTATTTTTGTTTTTTATTATTAATTCGATGCAAATTACAAAATCCAAATTAGATGACATATAACACCTCATACAAATATGTGATAATCGGATTGAGTTGTGAAATTTTAAGTACCATTGTTAGGCCTATCTACTTGGCTAGATTCTTCATTTTGTAATATTTTTATCTTTTTGGTGTATCTTTGTTTTGTTCATTTATCAAAAAATTGTAAGATTTAAATAAAGGAAATTGAATGAGATGAAAAGTAGTAGTTCAATTTATAATTAGGCTTCACAATTAAATATGAACTATATTCAAAATTGAGTATTTTAGTCAAAAGAAAGTTTCACAATCTTATTCATACTTCTAATAGTAGTGTAAACATAGAATTATAAATGTGTTCAATTTTTTTATATTTTTTGTAATTGTATGTACAAATAATTATGATATGTCACACTTGTTTTTTGTTTAATATGATATTATACATGTGCTTGAATCTTTTTTGAAAAAATTATGTATTTTTCTTCATTTTTGTATTTTTATATTTTATTATTATTTTTATTTATTTATGGCATTTAATGTTAACACAATTAACCCAAAAGTTGAACTATTGATTTTTTCCAGAGAGTAAAATAATTTCATATTTTGTCAATTCTAAATTATAAATTATGTATTTAATTTTCATTATCAATAAAAATAATTCTTGTTCATTATACTTATTTTTTTTAATTTGATTCATAAAAATATCATAAATGTGTCTAATTCTTCTATATTTTTGTAATTTTATAAATTTATTTCTATTTTAAAAATTTTATTACCTAACTATAACTTCATAGGTTCATCATTTTGATTTGAATGGTTGAATTGCTCAGCCACCACTTTAATAAATAATGGTTTTTCTTTTGAGTCAATTTTAAAATATATGGATTTATATTGTTAAAAATATTGGCATAAATCTAATTAGAAGCATTTATTAGTGAAAAATAACTTAAATATAGGATTTAATAAGAGAACATGTGAGTTAATAACTTAAGTATAAGACTTAATGAGAGGGGATTAAATTACGTGAAAAGTAATAATTAAAGTTACATTTTCAACCCTTACAATTAGAGATTGACTAAATAATCAAATATGGGCATTTTAATAACCATGAAAGCTACAATAAAATGACTTTTATACATTTTCTCAAATAAAAAAATAAAGGGTAATTTTAGACCAAAAAAACTTACACTCTTCATCTGCACTTTTATACATATTATAGATTTGTATTCATGAGCAATGCAAATTTTGCTTCTAAAAAGATTGGTGCAAAATTTGCACTTCATCCTCCTCACTTAACTCTTTCATATAAAATGGAAACTACATCAATTTGCTTACTACCTTACTCCTCCCAAATAAATAGCCTTCTCCCAGCCTTATATCTCTTTCATACAAATTGGCAACTACATTTCACTTCCCATAGTACTTTTACAAAGAGTCAAATAATGTCAAATCTGAAATAAAAGTAAACCAAGATTTATAATTTCCATCAAGTTAATTTGCACTATACACTTAAGTAAAAATTTTAAACTGAAACCAAACAGAACGTTGGGGGGAAATGTTTGTATCCATTGGCATTGGGATTGATTAGTCACCTATTAGTGGGATCCATTGTTTAATCCCCAATAAGAATGCACCTTCGCATCTTTACAGAGTGCACCTTATATTTGACATGGTATTTATTCCCATTAGACGATGAAGGATCAGTAGCCATCAGATCGACTCCAAAGCATCCAGTCCACCCCTAACAAAGATCCCAAATTAAATACTTAAGGTGCATTTGGAAAAGATGCAAATAGAGTGTAAATCACGGTTTAGGGTAAATTTGCACTCTGATTCATTTTTGCCTGTGTTTGGCAATATCATATTTTTGCATTAACAAATGACAGACCAATGCATATTTACAATGATAATAAGATGTAAAAATACATCAATAAAAAAGAAGTAAATTTGCATTCAAGTGAGTTTTTAATTAAAAAAAAAGATATACTTTATTAGAATTCGTGTGTGCATCCATTATAGTTAAAAGCCTTTTTGGTAAAAATGTAAATTTGTCAATGCAAAACTAACCCTACTTTGCAATTTATATGAACCGTTTTACACACTACTTATTTACATTCACACATATTTGCATCATTTCCAAACACAGCCCTAGGATTTGTTTTACTGCTTAAAAACATAACGGTGGAAAATACATCTCCAATTCTGCTTGCAACAGGTACATGGATGGCTCCAGAATTTATACATTGACATTTCCTTGTGGCTTCAAAATGGGAAGTGCTAGTGACACTTCAAATCATACACAAGAACCAAGTAGAAATGGAGCAATCAAGTTAAGGTAATGAACTATTGTCTCAGTGAATTTTTCACTGATACATTTCTCACGTATGGATGGCTGCCGACCAATGCAAATCGATGTCGAACGACACGTTGATTTTCGGTCAATATACTCGATACCATTTGATGCTTATTACTCCCATGTATAATGCAGGTTTTAGAAATTGCTTTAGACTTGCTCATCTAGTAGCTGAACGGCTGAAAAGCTTAAGTTTATCACAAAGGAGTTTTTTTTTTTTTTGGGTGTAACTATCCTCACTCCCAAGGGGAAAAAAAACTTAAAAGCTATAAATCTTGTCAATGGGACCATATTATCCCTGTAATTGGGCCGATTTGATCCCAACTTTTTGATATCGGTATCAATACAACAAACCATGCGTGCTGTGAGTAAACAACCTTGTACTTGTGTAACTTGTAAGTGGATCAATTGGTCCTGTAAGTACAAGTACGTTTTGAAAATGTATGAATGCGAATAAAAAATATAGAAATACATGAATACACTAAGGAAATATGTACAACTAACATAAATACATTAATAACACTACATCGAAGATCAAATAGCCATAATTAAAGGTATAAATACATAAAAATGTATATATTAATAATGCATGTGAAAAAATATATTACAATTAATATAATAGGACACAGATACCATATGATTTTTTTTGATAACGTATAAATAAAAAGTTAAGACACAAAACATATGCACCTATTATATTTTAATTATTATATCAATTATTTTCTATTTTACTATTTTTATTTTTTATATTAACAAAAAAATCAACCAAATATTAATTAATAAATTATAAAATATATAATCTCAACATAAAATATATCAAATCTATTAAAATTATTAAGATACATAACATACCATATGCAAATTCATACTTTTTAATAACTAAAATAAACATTCCATTATTAATATTTTTTCTATACGTTTTTCTAAAATTAAAAATCAAATGTATAAATGTAGATTAGTAGATTTGATAAATTCAATTTAATATATGTGCTAAAATAGTTTGTAACCCTTTTTATTTTTGTTAATAATAAATATGATTTTATTTAATGTAAATTAAAATAATAATTAATAATTATCCCATCTTTAATATTTTATTGTATAAATTTCTTGAGGTTCAAAATTCAAATCATCCTTTGATATTAACATGGATTTAATTGATTATTTATCCCATTAATTTATAAAATATCAATTTTGATTGGTTGAAATTGTCAAACATAAATATATAATATTTATTTATATTACATGTGGATACTAAAATTAATAAAAGTTATTTTATTTCATTTATTATCACAAAAGGCAAAGATAGCTTGGTGGTTGAATTACTTTGGGTGTTGGGTACTAGGCAGTAGTAGGTGACCTAGGTTTGAATCGTTCTATCTCATTTTTAATAAAAAGGCGTGCCAAAGCACTGTGTATGGGTCCAGTGCATATTGGCCAATACAATACATGAATACAAAATGAACCTGATATGTATGCTAGTTACTTACAACACTGATACAATTCTCAAGACCCGTATTCTCGACCTGGGATCAAATCGCCCCAAGCAATGGTTCTCATATGTTTTAAGAGTATTAGGGCACACTTACCAAAAAAGTTAAGCTTTGAGCATCCCTGTTGAAGGATAAATGATTCATTGTCCTTGTAACCTTAAAAGGTTTACCTTTTTCAGCACGCTTTCATATGGACGAAAGCATAAGAAACAAAAGCAATCAGTTAAGACCAGGTAACCAGAAATTTAGCAAACAATAAGAACACAAATGTTAAAAAAAAAAGTGTTTACATGGTATGTACAAGGACCAAGGCCTTCATTTCTTGATAATATGACAAAAAAACGGTTGTTTTTCTTTACTTCATCTCATGGTATGTCCAATAATTCAGTCTTACACCAAGAAGTTTACTATTACTAATAATACTTATTCATGACCAAAATGGAATCCAAATGTGCCCGTACATTCTGCCATCTTACGAAACTCAATCTTTTGCCCTAACTGGCTCGATGCAGACTAGACGTTAAATAGGAGAATAGAATTACTGACCCGGGTTCCCCAAGAGTCGCTCAACTGCAGCATGGACATTCCCTGCAGTGGCACTTAACGCACGGATATTCTCTTGGGTGTCAAAGAAACCCATTTCTTGAAGCTGTGCGAGCTGGGTTGCATAAAGTTCTTCAGGAGGCACTGCAGGAAAAAATATAAAAAACCCTTGAGGAGCCTATAGTGAAGAAAATCATTTTGGATGCAGAGTAGACTGTGCAGAGGATATTAATTAATTGATAAAAATGGGGTAATGTTACCATTGGATGTGTTGGGTGTAGTCAAACTGCCTGCACCGAGCCCACCAAACATGTTCATCAATAACTCCAATCCCATATTATTAGGAGTTCCTGTAAGAACGAATACATTTAATGGCGGGAGCATCCAAATGGGTAAGCATTTATCAAATATATAAAACCAAAACCAAATCCAAAAATTAAACCGTTAATTTTCACGCCTACCATCTATCCTTGTCCTTTACTAATGATGCAATAAAGTTTCAAGCTATAGATCAATGCATAACCACATTTTAAAATAGATGGTTCCAAATACTAAGATTAACAGAGACATTGGAGGAAGAATATGTATCCTCGGGACCCACTGAACGGAGGAGGGGGAAAAATATAGTTTTGTCAGGTACGTTTAGGTTACCACCATTTCTGATTTAGGTACGCTTTCGTAACCATCTTGAGGAAGTTCCCATGGACTTCAAGTTTCAAGCCATTAAACATCATGCTCTGGCCTCTTGCTTTGTTCGCTTTCAGGATGCTGATTAAGGAAGTTCCCATGGACTTTCAAGGTGCTGATTGTAAGATCTCGAGGGAGTTTGTCGTGGACTTCAGGGTGCTGATTAAGATACGAGCATTTGAACATAAATTTTTTAAATTTTATTTTGTATTCTGTTCAAACGTGTAGCCTTCTTTTCCTAAAATTCATTTGCTTAATTTACATACATCTTAGTTTATTCATATATATACAATAAACTGAATTTATTTTTAATTTCTTCATACATTCTCAGATACATTTTTTTTCTTTCATAGTCGATTTATATTTACATTTTATTACACGTATATTCTTTTTTATATGAACCTTATGTTTTTTAAATTTCATTTTATGTTTATAACATTCTTCCCTCTAGTCTATTTTTCAATATAAACAATCATATACTACTTTAGAATTAAATGGTGTATTAAAGTAGATAAAAAAGAATTTGACAAATTTGTTTTTAACTTTTCATTATATTAATATTTTTATTTTATTTTTTATTTAAACAAAGATTGAAAATATCCTTTTTAGCTTTTAGAATTAGTAGGCCACACCGGCATAGGTGAAAATATGAACAGAGATGCTACTCTTACATGTGATACATTGAAACCTAGAATAACAAATTATGAGTGTCATATTCAGAAAGTAACATAAAAGCAAATATATATATATATATATATATATATATTATGACAGATTGCTTTTGTTTAACCAACTAAACAATAAAGCTTTCTAAAATTTACAAAGCATTATTTTTAATTTTTTTTATGTCACTTAAATGAGGTATATGCCTCACCAATTTGAGGAATGACAGTGACACGCACACCTCATCAAATTTGGCGTGTAAACCTCTTCTCAAGGAAGAAGGCGGTTAAGGCAGTTTGGCTCCACCTTAACACCTTTTAAAAAGTGATCCTTGAAGATGGAGGGAGACTCCCAAGTGGTAATAAGGTGGACGAATGGAGACAGACATTGGGGGCCCTAGATACCACAACATTAGAGAGCTAGGTCCTCGGCCTCCAGATTGACTCTCTCTTTCAAGGTCTTTCAAATGGATTCCTAGATAGGGGGGTAATAGGGAAATAATATCTGGTCATGACGCTGTACTTAGAGAAGTAGGAATTTATAGAATAGTTATGCTGGGTGTTAGGGGGGGCAATTTGTAAACAGGCCCAAGGGGTGAAAAAGATTCAGTTTCTGTATAAATTGAACTAGATCAGGTAATTGACAAGGATTTAACCATCAGATAAAAAAAGAGAAAAATTATCAGACATCAGTGATGTGTGAAACAGTGGTTGGCAAAATCAATTCAAGTGAAGATGATGTCTTGAATACCTGCACCAGCACCAGTTTGACCTGGCTCCCTGCAAGAGAATACCAGAAACCCATTAAAAACTAGAACAAAAATAAATCAAGAGAGATAACAAAATAGCTGAACTATTATTAAATTTTCAAGTGTTTCTTGGCCAATAAGGACCAATCCTGAATCTCCTGGAAGCAAAAACTCTGCCTACATAGCATCCCGCCGCACATTGGGAATATCTCCCATACATGTATGTTAAATTCATGGGGGAATGTTAATGTGCGGTCAGATTCCCATACTTGCAGAGTGTGTGCAGCGTTTTTATTTGCAGGGAATCCTGTCACATACAGACCCTTGAATTAACCAATCATCAAAACATTCAATTTTTCAAAAGAATACTACAAAATTTATATACACAAATTATTGGAACGGGCATTTGGAAGCTATGTATAAAGAAATATCATTTCATTTTAGCCTTCCTCGGTGCTTCTCTTTTTATCAGTAACAGTGCATAGCCTGCCTTAGTGTTTGAATGCATTAGTTCATAGTCAAATAACAATAAAAGTTTGAAATAAGTTCATCAAGCATGCTTATGATATGCACCGTCATACAAGGAAACAAGGAATATTGGTGCCTGGCCCCTGTACTTGTGCATACATGCTGAAGACAGAGGTCAAACACACAGCAAACCACCAGCACCACCACCTTTTCATTCTGACAAGTGTTTACTACCAGGACACGCTTTTCATCCCTGAACCACAAGAATTTCTCCCCATCTTATGGTGTATGAATTAAAAAGTATGCCTTAGTAAGAAAAGTTTAAGTATACATTGGTTATGGAAGCCATAGTCCACATGGGCAAAAACTAAGAAAGACTAACTGGAGTTACATGTTATTTGCCAAATTAAACAAATAATGAGATTATGCAACTTACTGGGTTGATTGTTGCCGACCAAGCTGAGAAAGAAGTGACTGCTGTAAAGCCAAAACTTGCTGCAAGAAACAAACACAAGAAATGTTAATTTAAAGAAAGATGCAACTCAGAGATAACTTTTAACTGTGAAAACAATAGGACAAAGCTTAAATGCCACACTAGCAAAAAGATGGCTGAAACTTGTCAACAAAAACCACATGAAACCTTTCCGCCTGCTTCAACAAGATTTGAACATCATGAGTAGAAGGATGAAACGTGCCTCAACTTTTAAACCATTTATCATTAATGCTTGTAAGCAACCAGAAAGGTCCTCAAAAGAAGAATTAAAAATGAGGGAACCTACAGATGCATGATGTTATGTTGATGCTACACTACCTGCATCGTCTCGGGGGAAGTCAACTGACGAAGAAATTCTGGGTTTTGCATCATTTCTCTCAACTGAGAATTGGAATCAAGCAGGCTACGTAGCTGTGGATTTAAACCAATTATCTGAAAATCAAGAAGCACTATTAGAAACAAAAGAAGAAAAAAAAAGGGAATCAAAATGGGACATCTTATTAGCATAGCATAACTTAGATTACCACCTGATTCATATACTGAGGATTAGAGAGAAGACTTTGCATTATCTGTGATACGGCAGGGTTTTGCATAAACTGATTCAACATCGAAGTATCCTGCATGCCACCAAGCATGCGTTCCATCTCGGGAAGACCAAGCGCAGATAAACCACCAATTCCAGGAGTCCTCCCATCCCCTGCAGGAGTTGACCTTGTGGTTGTGTTTGCCTGTGCACCTCCAGCTGCTAGATTTGCAATTATAATTAAAAAATATTAAATGCATCAACAACAAAGAAATTCTTTCAGACATAATTTGATTCCAATGAAGATTTCAAGTATGATCCAAGTAAAATACCACATATGTGTTTTTCACTTTTAAAAACACAGGCAACATACAAAGGTGTAACAACCATTGGGGATTAAACTCATGAACCACACTATGAAGCTTTAGGAGAGAATAGTTGAGCAAAACAATACAACATGAAGCAAATATAGCAGATAATCCATTTCGGTTTATGCCAGGGAAATAAACTATGGAAGCTATCTTTCTTAAGAAGAGATCTCCATATGGTGTCAATTGATCTAGAGAAAGCATATAGGCTGTCGACTTTTTAGAAGCTCGGCAGCTTGTGTTTTAGTCTTCCTCCGTTTAGTTGGAGGAAGATCTTTCCATCGAAAGATCGTGCCCCAAAAAGATGTGAGAAAATCTTATTTCGAGAAGCTAGAAATGGAGCTTCTCACCTTTTTTCGCTTGCTCAAGTCTCACCTTCACGCAGAAAGACACGCCTGCAACCAAAGGGTCTGTGGAATGCCATTTATGTAAAAGATCACAGTCTTTTGGCTGTCAGATCTTCCGGAAGATCTTTAAAAAAACTTGCCGAACGGCACTATAATTAAGGATATGTACGAAGATGCAGCAACCAATGTTAGAACACACATTAGATTCTACTGTTATAATGGGTCTTCACCAATGTTCAACACTTAGCCCTTATTTATTTGCATTGACCATAGATGAATTAACTAAACATATTCAGGAGGCAGCCCCATGGTGCATGTTGTTTGCTGATGATATTGTTTTAATTGATGAAACTAATGAAGGATTAAATGCAAGGTTATGCTTATGAAGAAATGCCTTAGAAACAAGAGGTGTTAAAACAAGACTAAAATAGAATATATGATGTGTAAATTTAATAATAATAGGAGTGCAAATCAAGGTACACTTAGGATTGGACACCAATGTTGAGATTGAGGATGTCCCCATAAAATTAGAGCAAGATGGGTAAAATGGAGGAGTGCATCCGAAGTTTTTTGTGATAGGCAAATACTACTTAGATTAAAAGGAAAAATCTATAAGAAATTTGTAAGGCCAGCTAATGCTGTATGGAGGAGTTTTGGGCAGTAAAGAAACAAAATGTCCAAAAAATGAAAAATGAACTCACTTCGGGTGATAAATGAGAAAAAGTAGAGTAAGACGGTCTAGTCACAAGCATGGAAGACCATCAACGACACCTATTAGAAAAAGTGATTTGTTGCAAATTGAAGGGGCTAGAAGGGATTGGATCAGACCAAAAAGGACGGGTGGTAGTAAGAAATAATCTAAGCACCAATAATTTAACAATGGATATGGCATTAAACAGAACTGAATGGCAAAACAGGATTCATATAGCTGAGCCCACATGGATAAGGCTTAGATGATGATGTGTTTTTAACTATCAATTGCCATTACAGATGCAAACAAAGCATAAAGAAGACCATTTTCATAGTGAACCAGTCCACCAATAATGGAAAAGGAGTATCTAAAATTAGCCAAAGGAAGTGTTTATTAAGTTCAAAACTCTCCTAGTGATGAGGCAACTTATGAACTCTTGTCTCTGGTGCTTACATTTCAGGGATATTGAGCCATTTCTTCCCCTGTTCAATGCTTATTCACTTCTTGGCAACTTCCAAATGACAATTATTCTCTTTCCTCATCAACTTCTCCCCAAGGATAAAGTGAAGATGTGCAAGATCTGCTGCTTTGTAGGCCATATGGGAGGGAAATGCTGAGCAAAGATCAACTGGGTGACATTTTGGTAGACGTTTTCACCATTGCGGTCATATATTGCAAGTTCGTCTACTTCTAGACAGGTCCCTAATTAGGAAATCCAAGCACCCAGAAAGAAAGCAAAATTTTGATCAATGCTCAATAGAGAACCAAGACCTAAGGAATTGGAGATGCTTTTAAGTATGCACTAAAAAGATGGTTTTGACATTCTTGATTCTGTTTGGTCAGAGGACTCTACTAGGTAAGAGATCAAATCACTATGCAATTTTTTTATAAATGATCACTACCCATGTTCATGACAATGTTGCAGCATATATAGATATAAAGGTTGAATAGATTGTTAGATGATCAAGAGATGGCTTAGAGAAGGTGTTAATGGTCTACAGAGACGCAAAAGGCTTTGTCTGTGACGCTTAAAGCTTTGGCATCAAAATGCTTGCATCTCATTTAGGTGGAAGGAGGAGAACATAATTGCACTAGGGAGCATCATTCCTAGGATAACTTGATCATTCATGTAGTTCCTTTTTTATTTTGTTATGTTTCTGCTCTGTTTCCCTATTGAGGATCTTGTGCTAGCCGCCACTTGGGTGCTTTAAATAATTCTATTCTCTAATCAGTACCTTTTGGTTTTTATAGATCCCTCTAATTTTGTTATAGATCAAAAAATGATAAATAACAATAAGTATCTTTATTACAATCTGTATGAACAAGTTATAGGCATATCCCCCAGAAATCAATGTGTATGGCATTAATATATGGTATGGATTCAAAAGTCCACACTTGTTGCTAAAGATAATATCACTACTAGAAATTTGCCACCCAGTAAGGACCCTTTTCCCCACTTTTATAGAACTCACTGGACCTGGATTAGATTTTATTTTTTACATGAACATGATTCATGAAACCAACACCATATGGTTGGGACAAGGCTTAGATGATGATGATGATTCATTCCATATATGAAGGTATGAAGGAAGATAAAAAAAACAAAAGATCCACTGGATGAAAGCTTACCAGCAGCATTGCTCCATGGGTTGGGGAGGGGGTTTGTATTTGGAGCAGGAGACCCAGTGGTTGTTTCAGAACCAGTGGTTGATGGATTGTTTGATCGATCTCTGGCCTGTGTCCCACCTTGGTTCCCCAGAAGGGCTGCAAATGGGTTTGAACCCAAATCGTTTCCAGTATCTCCAGCCATAGTTGTTGCATTCAGAAATGGTTCCTGAACAGTTTCATACATGCGCCTGAGCATGTTGAATCCTTCCGGAGATGACTCAATATTGCTCATTGCCCTGTCAGTATTCCGCATCATTTCCCGCATGAGTTCAGGGTTCCTTGCTGCCTCTAGTGTCTGTCGAAGAGTGCTGGGATCATTAAGTATATGAGCAAGATCAGGATTACGATCGATGATCTCACGCATTTGAGGATTGCTCATGATCAAGTTACGCATTAGGTCAGGATTATTCATTAGGTTCTGGATTACAGGCATGTTCATTATTTCCCTCATCATATTTGGGTTCTGAGTAAGTTGCTGCTGCACTTGCTCAAACTCAGGAAGCCCAGTTCCAAATAGACCAGGCATTCCATTGCCACCCAGTCCATTAACACCAAGTCCTGGAAATAGAGATGCTTCAAGACCAGCTCCCAAACCAGCTCCTCCTCCGAAAGCCCCTCCTTCAGTGGAGCTTACACTCCTAACACCTGCAGTGGTGTTTGGACCTCCAACATTGGCAGAACCACCAGTATTGGTTGATGCAGCTGGAGCAAAACCACGAACCATGTGAACAGTGTGATCTGCCAGCAAACCTACCAAAAGAACAAAAGGAAACGCCAAGTTCAGGAAAATATGCAGAATAATTTAATGAGGAAGCAGTTTGAGCAACAATAGCATCCATTCATCTGTTTTCACTAGTTTATTATGCCTGTTAATTAAAACAGATATCATAAAAAATTATGGGAGTCATTTTTATAATAAATAATAGAATTGGTGTATCTCATTGAAGCAAAAACTCCTTACTACCTGAAAAAACTTGGACAGCAGGTCAACAGGTAGAATGGCACCCTTGACTAGAGTCAATAACTTAAAGAGAAATTACAAATTCATTCTCAGACCGGGAAATCCCAACACAAGACTTTCCCTTATAGCCTCTGCTTTTGCTAAGGTATCAGCCAAGACATTTACAGTTGTTGGCACCCATTTGAATGAGCTATTTCGAACTGATTTCTAGAGTTTGCACCCATCTCACTAAGGACCTGAAACTCCATGGGATTTCCCTACTTGCTCTCATCCAAGAGATTACAATCCCCCTCCACCATAAATTAGTCCACCCCAGCCCTCCACCATAATATTGGTCTACCCCAGCCCTCCACCACAATATTAGTCCACCCCAGCCTACTAATCAGATTTAGGCCTTGTATTAAATCTGGCAGTTCTGTCTTTAAGGAGTTGCCTTGCAAAAGCGGGCCTGAGAAACTAAGGAGAACATTGGTAAGAATAGCATAGTTGTCAAAATATGAAACTAACAAAAATGTAGACTAATGGGTAGAAAAATCCCATTTCATACGACAAGAGACAAAAAATAATCAATGACCAAGGACATAAAGATAAGAGATTAACCAAGCGCAGAATAATTGATGCAATTACCCAACCGTGTGGCACAAGTTTTCCTGGTTATATTTATTAATTGTTACATTTCCTGCACATAGAGAAATTTCTACAGGACTGATGGTAAAGGATCATAAACCAAAGTAAATGATCTCCGAGGAATGTGGCAACTGTGCTTAACTGTTAACACCCTCCCATACTAAACCCAAGAATAAGTCCAAACGGACACCTTTTCATTGCCCCAAATGCCAGCTATCCAAAATCCATTGAGATTAACCACATAGAACAAGTTCTCTTAACATCGCATCACAAAAGGGAAATTACACCACCATCAGGGTTGAAATGTAAGGCCCATCACCCAGTCCGACTCTCCAACGATCCCATTGAGGAGACTAGATGGAGGTAGTGATAACTAATAATAATATAATAGCATTGCTCATGTTTGAACTTATTCGCAGCATTGGGCAACACTTGGGTATATATTAGATTACACAGCTTGTGCAATTTATTAAATACCGCCTTGTATCAAAGTATAGGGAAATCCACCATTCCTTGCCCCAGTCACTTATTACTGACTTCCGTTATTTACATAAAAAAGGTAACCATTCAGGATATGAATAAACCAAACCTAATCTGTGGAAACAACTACAGTTAGGACATTGGATCTAAATAATAAGACATGAAAACATTAACTTTTTAGGGTTTCTCCATTATTACATCCATGAAACACAGACAAGAAAATCAATGATAACCGCATGCAATACATCATTGTCAACCTGCAAAATCACAGATAAGCAACCAAAACCCTACTAGAAGAAAACAATAACATCGAGAATACGATAATTGCAGAAACTGGGAGAAAGATCAGGATAAGAGACAGACCATAGCTTTCTAGGGTTTGGTCGTCCTTCAAGATCCGACCCTTGTAAATCAACCGCTGTTGCTCGGCGGGGACATCACAATTCTGCGCCAAAAGAGCTTTAAATGCCCCAACCGTTGAGTCAAGGTTAATCTTCACAGAAAACTTCGACCCGTTCGAGCATCGGATGTGAACATTAACTCCACTGTCGACGCCCGAATCAGCCGCATCACTGGAATCCCCATCGCCACCCATAATTTCCCCCTCCCTGCAACGGGAGGTTCGATCCGCAGATACAGAAAAAGAAAAAGAGAGAGGAAGAGGGAGAAAATAATTTACAAAATAATTAAATGGATCAAAAAAAAATACTAAAACCCTAACCCTAATATACGCACTCTACAAACAGGATCAAAAACTGTCGAAAGAAACAGACTTGTATAGAAAAAATTGGAGACAACAGACACAACAGATGAGGACCAAGACTTTCAAGAAAGAAAAGGAAAGAATATATAAATAAGTTTCTTAGCAAAGGAAAGAATATATAAATGTATTATTTTCTCCATAAAAGAAAAGGGGCAAAAATAGAGAACAGAGAAGAATCGGTGGAATCGGAGATGCCTTAGCCCATCTAAAACGGGAAAGGATATCGGTCTTTATTACTTTTGATCCCCACGATGAATCCTGGACGTCGAAATATTAGACCAGTCTATGGTTTGCGATGAACCAGACACTCACATTATTGGTCCAATGCTAGGCAAAAAACCATGATCATTGATTATCCGGTTTGATTGATCAGAATTGGGTTCAATCTATGCAACTGAACCGTTGGACCAGAAATGACTAAAAACGACCCCTTTCCATAGGATGTCTTAGCCGGTTCGGATATCTACAAATACAAACAAACAAGTGCAAATAGAGAGGCAAACTAACCCACCTCTCGTTGGGTGACGGTCTGCTTTTGAAGTGGAAAGGACCCAATGCTTTATAATTTCTAACCCCCCCCCAATTAAAAAGAGAGGATTTTTTTTAGTTGTTGATAATTAAATCAAAATCTGATTAGTGTAGAATTGGCAAATTTGGGTTTTGAATTTTGACATTAGTTTGTGTTTTATAGTCTATGGTTGATATTTAGTGTTGGCCCTTAACCTAATAGGCGCAGATTTGCATGACAGGTTTAGAATTGTTCATGCAACAGATTTGAACTCTAAGGCGATACAATCAATCTAATTTATGCCTCTACTTTATTAGAGACGACGAAAAGGAGCTGAGACATTTAAGAGGAGAAGGGGACCAGATCTAGTAGGAACAACATAGTAAGCAAGTTCAATGAGTACTTAATACATATTCTGACAACTGTCAAAAGTTGTTCTTAATTTTTTTCAAAGGTAGGCCGGGGGTATTTTAAGGGATAGGTGTCAAAAAAAATTTTAAGTGCTCGTTGAACGTGCTTATAATTATGTGCCTACCTGATCTGAATTATTCACACCACACCCATTATGTACTTTTTTAGGGGTATAATGTGTTTCATAACAAAACAATCCATCGTGTATCCACAATCAAACATTGGCTTTTGGTGAGAGATTGAGTGAGAAATGGAAGGAGAAGGTTTTAAGAATGATCTTGTTGTTAAAGATAGTGAGGATGGATCCCTAATAGAAATGATTAAGGCTTAAAAGTGTTTTTTTTTTATCTTCACTTCTTAAATTTTTAATAATGTTAGCGAATGTTTATGTGCATTGCATGTGGCAGTTTTAGATGATAATGGTGTAGTAATAATATGTGTCAATTTTTTCCTATTTATTTTGTTAATATACCTATACTACTTATAAAAGTGTGAATGAGGAGGTATTGGCTTCTATAATTTTCCTTTACTAAAATACCCTTCCTCTTGAATTTAGTTCATTTCCATTGAAGGGGTTGAAAATGTAATTAAGAGAATGCCATTAATTACATTCAATTACCTCTCATTAAGTCTCACATTTAAGTCATTAAATAAATCACATTCTCTCTCATTGAATCCAACACTTATACTTTTGTTTATCATCATTAAATTTCACTAATAAATTCATACACAATAATTATTAATATAATAAAATTTTATATTTTTAAGATAAACATATAAATGGAATCATGTTTTTCATATAGGCGGTGGGTAAGTAGTTCAACCATTTGGGTCAAATGGATAATTTCATGATATCATAAATAAATAATATAAATTTAAAAATATAAAAAATACTTTTGTTTATCATCATTAAATTCCACTAATCCATACACAATAATTATTAATAAAATGAAATTATATATTTTTAAAATAAACCTAGAAATTAAATCATATTTTCCATCTTGGTCGTAAGTACTTCAATCATTTAGGTCAAATGGATAATTTCATGATGTCATAAATAAATAATACAAATTAGAAATATAAAAAATACAAAAAATATAGAAAAAAAAATTGGAAAAAAAAATTGAACACATTTCTATTATTATGTATTTGTCATATTAAAAAATAACTATGATAAAATAGACATAATTTTATTAATGATAGACATCAAATATACAACTTAAAACCGATGGGAAATTAAACCATGTTCCTATTTAGGGGGTGGGTTAGTGGTTCAACCTTTCAGGTCAAATAGGTTAACCCGTAATGTATAATTAAAAATAAAAATTTTAAAATAGAATAATACAAAAAAATATGAAAACAATTTCAAGCACATTTATAATATTATATACTAATAATATAAACAAAAATAAGTATGACAAATAATAATTATTTTATCAATGATATAAATGAAATGCAAAATTTAAAACTAGTTTGAAAGTCAAACCATTTCCATATCTAGATGGTAGGTAAGTCAATGATCAAACATTCCGGGTCAAATGGCTCAATCTATGATGTCATAACTAAGTAACAAATATTAAATATACATACATACATACATACATACATACATACATACATACATACATACATACATACATACATACATACATATAAACTCAAAGAAAAATATAAGCTTTGTATAAAGCATTTTGATACAATTCTATTGTTATATATTCATCATAAACAAAAATAAATATGAAAATAAGAATTACTTCTATCGATGATGAAAATGGAATACATGATTTAAAATCAATCAAAAAAGCAAAATGGTAGTTGGTGGGTTAGTGGTAAAACTATCCATGTCAAATCGATGTTATTATTAAATAATAAAATACATAAAATTATAGAAAATATAGAAATTTGTCGATAATTTTGGGTACATCCTAACACATGACCCGACTAACCATGTCAAATGGTCCAATAATTTAATTAGCTAGGCCATCGTAGGCAAGTGATTTGTAGGGACGCAAACAGATCATATCAGATTTGAATTAGGGTATATTCAAATTTGGTATAATCCAAAGATTCGACCGAATCTCATAAATATTGATTTGAATCCAAATTCAATCAAGATGTCAAATATTCGAGTTTGATACGATCCAATTTAATTTTTTTTAAAAGTAAGAAATTATTAAAAGAAAAAATATAACAATAGAAATAAAAAATATATAAGTATTTTTTCAACTATTTCCATCATATAAAAAGTTTACAAAAATGCAATATAAATAACATATTTATAAATAAATTATAAATAACATATATATTATATATAAATAATTGATTTGAGCATAATATTAAAAACCAATGTTCAAACAATATATTGGAATTGCATTTCCTCTTGGTAAATAAGTTATTATCTCATAAATTAAATAATAAAAAATAAAATTATATAATTATTTACAAATTTTATAAAAAAATTGAACATACATTAATATTATATATTCTTCATATTAAACAAAAATATGTTTGAAAAAATGAGAATTATTATTTGTAAAGATAGAAATGGTTAAAATACAAAGAAAAAATGAATTAATGTCTTAATCATAGTCCATTTTCCTGGTTAAATAGGTTAACAATTCAACAGTAAGGTCCTTTTGTTATTGATTATTATCATCATCATCATCATTTGATATTGCCACGTACAAAAATAAGATTTACTTTTATTGATGATGAAAATGTAATACATGATTTAAAATCAACCGAAAAGGAAAAAATGGTTTTTCCGTCCAAGTGGTGGGTTAGTGGTTCAACTATCCATGTCAAATAGACCAACACATGATGCTATTATTAAATAATAAAATACATAAAATTCTAGATAATGTAAAAATGTGTAGATAATTTTGTGTACATTCTTTAATATTATATATCCATCATTAAAAAAAGTGTGATTAATGAGATTTATTTTCATTAGTGATAGAAATGGGATAAAAATTAGGATAAAAAATAAAGGGCATTAATGTCTAACACATGACCCCACTAACCATGTCAAATGGTTCAATGATTTAATTAGGTAGGTCATTGTAGACAAGTGGTTTGGTAGGGATGCAAACAAATCAGATTGGATTTGAATCAGGGTATTCGAATTCGATTCGATCCAAAGATTTGATCGGATCTCATAAATATTGATTCGAATCTATGATACAATCCGATTTAATTTAAAAATAATAATAAATTATTAAAAGGAAAAGAAAAATATAATAGTTGAAATAAATAAAAACAAAAATATAAGTATTTTTTCAACTATTTTTCATCATATAAGAAGTTTACAAAAATGCAATATAAATAACATATTTATAAATAAATAATAAATTACATATATATTATATATAAATGATATATGTATATATATATATATAAATAATTGATTTGACCACAACATTAAAACCAATATTCAAACAATGTATTGGAATTACATTTCCTCTTGGTAAATAAGTAATTTTGTTATCTCATAAATTAAATAATAATAATAATAAATATAAATATAAATTTTGTAGAAAACTTTGAACATGCATTAATAATATATATTCGTCATATTAAACAAAAATATGTTTGAAAAAATAAAAATTATTATTAGTAAAGATAGAAATGGCTAAAATACAAAGAAAATAAATGAATTAATGTCTTAATTGTAGTCCATTTTCCTAGTTAAAAAAGGTTAATGGTTCAACCAGTAAGGTCATTTGGTTGTTGACTATTATCATCATCATCACTTGATATTACCACATGCAATGCACGTACAGTTTTACTAGTGTATATAAAAGATAATTATTATTTGTCACACTTATTTTTTGTTTACTACAATGGATATATAAGATTAGAAATGTGCCCAAATGTTTTATACAGAATCCATGTATTTTTTTTTGTATTTATTGTTTTGTTGTTTTTAACTTATAGTATTTAATTATAACATTATGGATTGGTATCATTTGACCCAAATGATTGAAATGTTTACCTGCCACTTGGACAAAAATAATTGTTTTAGTTTGAGGTCAATTAAAAAGCATGGGTTTAGTTAAGAGTATTGTATATAAATTTAATTAATATAATTTATTGGTGTGAAAAAAAACTTAAACATAGGATTTAATGAGGGGACATGGGGGTTAATACCTTAAATATGAGACTTAGTGATAGGGAATTGAATGAGGTGAAAAATAGTAGTTCAAATTACATTTTATACCCACACAATTAGAGAATGAC